CAGACGGCGCTCTAGGCTAGTTTTAACAGCAGACGGCGCTCAAGGCTAGGTTTAACAGCAAATGGCACTCTAGGCTAGTTTTAACAGCAGATGTTGTTCTAGGCTAGGTTTAACAGCAGATGGCGTTCTAGGCTAGTTTTAACAGCAGATGGTGCTCTAGGCTAGTTTTAACAGCAGACGGCGCTCTAGGCTAGTTTTAACAGCAAATGGATCTCTAGGCTAGTTTTTACAGCAGATGGCATTCTAGGCTAGTTTTAACAGCAGATGGCGCTCTAGGCTAGTTTTTAACAGGTGATGCCATTCTAGCTTTAACAGCAGACAATGCTCTAGGCTAGTTTTAACAGCAGATGGCACACCTGGCTAGTTTTTAACAGGTGACGTCGCTCTAGTATTAACAGCAGATGACGCTCTCTTGGCTAGTTTTAACAGCAGATGGCTCTCTAGGTTAGTTTTAACAGTAGACGGCACTCTAGGCTAGTTTTAACAGCAGATGGTGCTCTAGGCTAGTTTTAACAGCAGACGTTGCTCTAGGTTAGTTTTAACAGTAGATGGCGCTCTAGGCTAGTTTTAACAGTAGACAGCGCTCTAGGCTAGTTTTAACAGTAGACGGCGCTCTAGGCTAGTTTTAACAGTAAACAGCGCTCTAGGTTAGTTTTAACAGTAAATGGCGCTCTAGGCTAGTTTTAACAGTAGACGGCGCTCTAGGTTAGTTTTAACAGTAGACGGCACTCTAGGCTAGTTTTAACAGTAGACGGCACTCTAGGCTAGTAGTTTTAACAGTAGACGGCACTCTAGGCTAGTTTTAACAGTAGACGGCACTCTAGGCTAGTTTCAACAGTAGATGGCGCTCTAGGCTAGTTTTAACAGTAGACGGCGCTCTAGGCTAGTTTTAACAGTAGACTTGGCTTTAGGCTGGTTTTAACAGCAGATCGTTTTAATTCCTAACATTACCTGTATGCACTAAAAATATTCATAGGCATTCTGTTACAAAATGTACGTAAAAGTGATCAAATTTCTTGCTAGTTGAATTAGTTTATATTTAATTGAATAACTTGTTTGACCCATAGGTGGTGCTGGGATATAACCAGTGTTTTCTGACAGTCAGGTGCTACTGAAAATGTTATATAAGACATTTATTAATGTTATATAAGATGAAAATGATTTAACGGACGCTTGCATTTGTCTGTTTTCCTGGTCAGGCCTGGACAAACATGGTCCTGACCATCCTGAATCAGATCCAGCTTCTGCCGGACCCCACGTTCATGGCTCTGCAGCCGGCGGTGTTTCCCTGCATCAGTCAGCTGACCTGTCATGTGACCGAGCTGCGCGTGCGGCAGGCGGTGCGTGAGTGGCTGGGCCGAGTGGGACGCGTTTATGACATCATCCTGTGATGAACTCGCCCCGCTCTCATCTCCGACACGTGCTTTACTGTTCGCTTAACTTTGCTAACTTTTTTCTAGTGCTGATTGATCTCAGTGTGATGCCGATCCCTTTTTGTGAATGTTCTTCATGCCGTCATGTCTTCAGAATCTCTATTTTTATTTATATTTCTAAAAGGCTTCAAAATCTACATGTGCCATATGTAGACTTATGTTTTCTCTCTCTCGTCCAATCCTTTAAAGTTTTTTCAATGCCCTTGAAGATTTTAATCAGCTAAAGTCAATGCACCTTTGTTGAAGCATCTCTCAAAGCATCTAAAGCATGAACTTCCGCTTATGCAGTTCATTTAGCTAATTTTATCCACACATTTCATACGATGTGCATCATATTCAGTGCTTTAATTGACGATTTTAAACTGATTCCTCTGATTTCAAGTTTAATGTCATCAGAAACACTGTATGAGATATTACCAAGTCTTACAGATATCAGCTCATAGAGTATTATTAGGTCCAGTTATTTATTGTTTGTAAATTGTGAACCACTGGGAGAAGCTGATTAAACTATGCTCCAGCTGCTCATAAAAATCATTATCCTATTTAAAGGAACATTGCACTTTTTTCAAAGGAAATACATTCATTTTACAGCTCTCCTACAGTTAAACAGCTGAGTTTCAGCAGATTTGAACCCATTCAGCCGATCTCCAGGTCTGACAGGAGCACTTAGCTTATAATATTCCTATTTATTCCTATTTATTTTTTTGAAGATTTACTTTTGGCCTTTTTTGCCTTTATTAAGTATATAGGACAGTATTATAAACAGGAAGTGTAGTGGGAGAGAGACAGGGGTTAGGGATGGGAAATGTCCTTAAGCCAGGATTTGAACTCTGGACGCCCTGAAGTGCTACTGCACCATATGTGAGCAAGCTAACCATTAGGCTTTTGCGCCAACAATAATATTTCTATTTAAAAGATACACTGCACTTTTATTTTAAGGAAAGTCTTTTTTTTTTTTCTAAAGCTCCCGAAAATTAAACAGTTGAGTTTTAGCATTTATGAATCCATTCAGCGGGAGCATTTTTAGCTTGGCATAGATCAATGAATCAGATAAGACCATTAGCATCTTGCTCGAAAAACGACTAAAGTTTTGATAATATTCCTATTTAAAGCTTGACTCTTCTGTAGTTACGTTGTGTATTAAGACCAACGTAAAATGAAAAGTTGCTATTTGCTGATATGACTTGAACTATACTCTCATTCATGCGTAATATATTATATATAAATAATGCTGTATATATATATATATATATATATATATATATATATATATATATATATATAGCTATATATATACACACACACACATATACAGCAGTATATATATATATATATATATATATATATATATATATATATATATATATATATATATATATATATATATACATACATATATATATATATATATATATATATATATATACACATATATATATATATATAT